TAAAGATGGTCAAGTGTGAGCATGTTGTTGTAGCTGAACATTTGAAATGGTGCACCGAACTTGCACACTGTGATCCATATTGAAAAAAATCACCCTATCTTATGAACTTTAAAATATAAAACATTTTTATGGCTTCTCATTAGTAAAAGCTCTTTTTTTTTCCAGAGTAAAATCTGTAACTTTACCCAATTCATTTATTTTTTCCAAAACAAATCACCATTTTGAAATAGTTGCAATGCAAGTATTGTGCAGTGGGTAAAGCTGGTCTAGTGTGGGTGTTTTATTGTAGCTGAACACTTGAAGTGAAGTTGAGAAGTAGAAGTTGGTCAATTTTCTGCTCTTGGATTGATTTAAACTTTGAAAACAGATTGTGGAACAACAACAACAAAAAAATACAACTTTTTGAGTAGGATTGTGGCACTTGTGACCCAAAAAATGAGGACTATCCTGATCCCAGCAGAAGGTTGTATTCATAGTGGAGTTCAGCAACAAATATGTATGTATATGTATGTAAATATGTATTTTGTAGGATATTTACATTTATTTATATTTTGCACTTGATGTGCTTAATCACTATTATAGTAATAAAGTACAAATTATTAAGTTTTTCAGGGCTGTACAGCAAAAAAAAAGTGTTTCTTTGAAAAAAAAAAAATGGTGCAAAAGTAAGATGGATTAGTTGATCCTGGATAGCAAAATATGAGATATCCAAATCCTGATCATTCCTGATCTCAACGGAACAATTTGAATAGCTGGACTCCATAACATCTCTAAATAGTTCAGTCTCATCATCTAATGAGTTTTCTGCTCAGACTGTCCAACCTGCACTAAAGCCTTGCACAACATAGAGTTCTATTCAGTTTTGTTTTTCTGGCATTGTCATAGACATGCATAAAAAAGAATGCTTTTGTTGATCACTGATCTACATCCTATTCCAGCTGGTGGCAGTAAAGCATCATGACATAATTTCCTATCCTTATCCTAAGGCCTCTTTAACCCTGTTCATGACTTTCTTGTTGCCATATGTAGAAGGTCTTTCGGAGTCCATTGGACCCCGAAAAAGAATTATGTGCAAAATATTTGTTGGTATTCATTATAGACTTTTATACTATGTTAAATACATTTTCTGATAAGTTGAGATATTTTTGGTTCCAAATGTATGACAAATGTCCCTCTTTTTATATTGAAAAATAAATAAATCTTCAAAAATAATTTAAAAAAAACAGTACCTGTCACCTAAACCAAATGGGGTCCAAAAGACCCCAAAAGACCTGAATAGGGTTAATGGAGACTTCTATTTCAATATGTTACCATACAGCTCGCTTTACAAAAGTGAGGCTGTGTGAAGTGAACTATGATCACTGAGTTTCACCCTCTGTCTAGGCTTTCTTCAAGGTCAGTAGGGACAAAGGCACTGATTCTGTTATGTAGGCCAAACCCTTGTTAAACATTTGGTGGTGATTAGATCATCGTGTTCCTCCCCTTGGGTGAGAAAAAACAATCAAGACGCCTTCAGCTAATCAACAGAGACAAGAGATACAGCCAATAAAATAATTCAAAGTAACAAAACTACCAAGCTACATACCCCACACAAAGCTTTACATTATAGATACAAGCTTTTGGTAACGTATCTTCTAAAATGTTAAAAATACATCGATCATTCATGCACAGATCTGATCAGTGAACTTGCTGCTAGAAAGATTTTACAAATGGAAAAAAAAAAGTCTCCATTTCAGTCAGAGCTTCAGATTGAAATGTATTATATCAAACTATACTGAGGGAATGAGCTTTTCCTCTACAAGCAAGGTGACTTTAACTTAAGGACTGGTAGAATAAACACAAGTATTTAAGTTGATTACAAATAAGCAACAGCTATTTTCTTTCACATTATTCACAAGGAATTTGTGTTTAACGCAAGTTTTTCAGTTGATAAACAATTAACTTGCTCCAACTAGATGTCCTCCAGTAGTGTTTGGCTTTTGCTTTTTTTTTTTTTTTCATGCAGTAGCTTTGAAGAAATTAACAAATATAACAATTTCAAAATTGAACACCGTTTTCATTTTAAATTGCAGTTGTGTATTTTAACATACGATATTTAAATCTTTAAAGCAAAAACACAGCTCTAAATAATAAACTCACATAATGAGCCCTGTCTAACTGAGCAGATATGTCAAATAAAAC